TAGCATTACGTATAGGTACCTACTCTGACATAATAATACAAATGAGGACACAAGGTCACATACCGGTAAATACCAGGTATAACCCCAGAATTTAGCGGTATGATTATTTTTCAAATGTAAGTATTTCAAAGTTTGTAAACAAGGGTTTTAGTCATATTGCTGAATTTATCTGATAAAATAAAATATATCAGAAAGGACAGTATGCATCGTTTGAATGACTTTTAATTCATTAGGCTCTCAAAAGCCTTAAGGTTAAATATGATCAAGATAAGAATTTTTAGGGTTATTAATTTGAAGCAGCATGGGTGGGGATGGGGGGGTGCAATGATGAGAAGGATGGCTTAGATAAGAACAGGTGCGAGATGTGGAGAAATGGACTTGTAGGAGGAGAAACGTTGGAACAAAAAGAAAAGGGAGAACTAGTGTGAGTGGGCGGGAGGGAGGAGGGGAGGGTAACCCAATGTCCATTTCCACATCCAGCCGAACATGTGGAAATGAAGTGGTTGTTTCTTGGAACGTCTTTTATTTAAATTGCTTACTACTTTTCTTCATTATTACCGACATTATACAAACATTCATTAATTCTAGTAATCATTTAATTATTAATAATTGGACAGTGCACTTGTATGTAACACTTTCTATAATCTTCTGCTATCCGTAACAAAACCACTTACTGTATTTGTACTGAATATAAACAGAGTCAAGATCTACAAAAAGAAAACTCACTCACTGTACGTCATGGGAGGAAACATACCTGCTGTACCAGAATATCCCCCGATGGTCAGTCTGAATTTTGTTTCCCGGCTTCCAACGACGAAAACTTTATATTTGGCAAATCTGCTTTCTCCATCAAAATCGGTCATGTCGACACGTAATTCATACAAAGCCTGGCTTGTCAGCAAATGTAAAAACTCATTGCCTTCAATAAAAAGTGACAATGAATCAGTAAAATAATTACTTTAAATAACAGTTTTAGCAAAAACACTTTTTCAAATAACGTGATGGAAAAAGTTTAATTTTCTACCAATCCAAAACTCGCTGGTCCCATCACTGAAACCAAACTGATAGTCTGCCCACTCTCTGAAGAAGTCGAGACTCCCGTCCAATCTTTTCTGTATAACCTGCGAATTTAAATAATGATGGAATCTCAAAAAGAGTAGGGGTTCCAGAAGAGGCAAGCATCTTCGGTATTAGCACTCGGTCTGTAAATACTGGAAGGACACTAGTATGATGAATCCATCAGTATTTGTCTCGACTGTTTGGCAGTCCGCGAGATATGTTGAAATATTGGCGGATTTCAATGAAATTTTGTTGAAAGATAAGCCAAAATTTTCATCAATTTCACTCTGTTATTGGCGGAAATTTGGCTTGTATATGCGTTTGATGTGTCTAGAAAGATTACAGATTTTAATCAGCATGGAGATCCTCTTATATACATGCAACTAAATAGTTGACTTACAACTAAACAAAGTACATGTAGTACTTACCAGCCATCCACCTTCATCAACGTCCATATCACACAACACATCAATCCCCCTTCGGAGGGCCCCCGGATACACCCGGTACACCCCTGAGGTAGAGTTTGGTTTCTGGGTCAGGATATCATAGCAGTCCCGAGGAGCTTGATTCCCTAAAATCAGTACGAACAAGTATTTTTTGTAACGCATTTGAACTGGAATTCCATTTCTGGATGAATTCATTGCAAGTTTCAGTAACCAGTACTACAAAAAGTGAATGGGAATGTTTATTCTTTTAAACTACATATAATGTCTTGTAGAACCTCATATAAACGATAAAAATTCTGGTGGTGTTTCTATCTTCTGACTTAGATAATTTTATAATGTTTCCTTTTTGAACAATGACCGTTTTTCGTTTTTGTTTGTTTGTTTGTTTTTTTTTTTTTTGCGTATTAAAAGATGGTTGAGGCAAATACCCCTGGTAGATGGATTTAAATAAAAGCTACCAAATACATATCATTTTCAATTTGCCAAGCAATTCCTCTTTCAAATACAAGTAAAAATCATGCTTTGATTTCTCTTTTGTCATACAGTTATTAAGGTTTTAACCAAAATTCTTCTTGATTTTTGTCCTGATTGATGTCCATTTTTGAACCAGATTGGTTATTTACCCGAAGCAACACAGAGATAACTTTGTGATAAAGTTTGAGATCGATCGGTACCTATAAAAATCCTAAATAACCCATACCTGAGTAGTTAGTTTGGTGTTGGATCAGCGTTCGGAGTTCAGCAACGATCAAGGAGTTAGGATAGTATACAGCGGCAGCAAGAACGAACGTCAATGCCAGGAACGTGAGCATCGAGGCATTGCCAGAACCTCGAGGTTCCTCGCTCACCAGTTTCTTTTTACCTTTGGCGTCTTTTTCGGACGACATTTCCACTCTCAGATCAGCCATGAAAAAACCACGCTATACACACGCTTTAACTTGCGCAGTGTCATGCAGTTCTCCTGTATTTTTATCGTTTTCTTGGAGATAGGTGTAACACCCTGTATTGAAACCTAGCGATGGGTGGAGTTTACTTTTAAATCTCCGATATGATTCAGTGGGAAAATTTTCCATATATCGTAATGTAATCGAAATGCGGATGAAAGGACAAAGATTTCAGATTTCATTTTAAATGCCATCGCTTTGTTTAAATCAAAAAGAGATTTTTCCAATGGAGTTTATGGATGCCTACCCCTTATGATAATGCCCTGCTTAAATTAGCTCGGTTGATTATCATAGCCTGTAGCAAGTAAAGAGCGGGTTAAAATAACTTGAGTACCCATGTACAGGTTTATTTCGTTTCATTCAAACTGTCAGTATATCCTTGTCACAGGGGTCTTCCTTTTGTACTGTTATTTATAAAATCGATACGATCATTTCCTTTACAATTGATTTAAACTTTTCACGTTAATAAACATACTGCAGGGGCGGACCCAGGATTTTTTTTAGGGGAGGTGGGTCCACGTCAACTGAAACAAATATCAGACTCGGAATTAAAACAACAACAAAAACTACGATACTTACTAAACCTGAAAATCCTATTTCGGGGGGGGGGGGGGGGGGCTTCTTCCGAAGTCAATTTTCTTCTGATAGATGACTCTCCTTGTCGTTCTGAAAGGGGTCCGTGTTTCCTAGGGGGTTCCAAGGTCATTATTTCGTTACTTTTACATCAGAAATTTAATAACTCTGAAAATTCCATTAAACCCCCCCCCCCCAATATCCGCCTGTGTATTGCTTTAATTTTTCATTTTTAATTTTCCCCCCTTTAACTTTTTTTTTAAATGGTTTGATGCATAACTTTGCGTATACTGTATTTAGTATGTAGTAAAATACTCGTCAGACTAATGAATATATCTTCCTATCAAAAGCTATAATTATTCTCAAATTTGGGAGGGAGGATTAAAACCTCAGATCTCACGGAATAAAGGGAAAAATTAATTTCAATGAAATGCATTTTGGCGACCTCGTTATCCTAAACCATATATGGAAGCAAAACAATGCGTGAGAGCACCGAAAAGTCACCGAAAGTCATTCAGATACGAAAATAGGTTTCATTCGAAACAAAAGCACAGTCGTCCACAGTGCAAGTTTCATCAGTTCGACGAAACGGCGTTTGAAGTCCTGTTCACAAAATAGCTCGTATAACGTCTTCGGAATAAGATATATTAAACTTTCAGAGACAAACATGTTATCAATGTCTCTGATATTTTTAAAGATTCTGAACAATAAATTTAGCTCATCAGTCGAAGGCTCAAGTGAGCTTTTCTGATCGAAGAGTGTTCTTCGTCTGTCTGTATTTGTATTTCTGTCGTATGTCGTCTGTAAACTTTTTACATTTTCGACCTTTTCTCCAGAACCACATGCAGGACCAAATTCATTTAAACTTGCCACAAAGCATCCTTGGGTGCATGGGATTCATATTTTATCATATGATTGGTCATGACCTTTTTCAAGGGGATATAATTATGAAATAGTAGAAATTTGGTGGGGTGTTTTCCTCAAGAACCGCTGTGGCAGAAAAGATGTAATTTATGTGAGAGCTTTTTGACATACTAGCTGTAGATTCAATGTTTCAAATTATGGCCCCCGGGGGATATTTACATGTTAATATATATATAAATAATCGGAAAAATGTCTTTGCATAAGCAGCAAGGCCATGATAATTGATACTTATAGTCAATCATGCTCAGGTAGTTTAGATTCAAGTTTGTTCAAATCATGCCCCCCCCCCCCCCGGGGTGGTGTTAGGTTAATTGGAGCCACAATTAATAGGGGATCAAATTTTTACATTGGAATGGAATACATGTATATAGGATTTTTTGTTTAAAATCTTCCTCTCAAGAACAACAAGGCCAAGATGAATAATCAAGCATCCTTAATTAGTACAGTAATTAATTATGATTAATTACTTAGTAATCATAATTTATCCAAATCATGATCCACGGGGTACAATTAATATGGGGTCATATTATGGGGATAAAACTTTTACATTTTTATGTGGATTCATTAAAAACCCTTGAAGCTACAAAGAGGAACTTCAATATGGAGTCAAAATGTATTTTGACTCTGAATAAAGAGGAGTTTTTTTGTAAGTCATCGGGTGAGCCTTGTGGCCCATGTGCCTCTTGTTACAGTTAAAGTTACTTTCACCACATTGTTGAAAATAAACAGACTCACGGACCATATATTAAACGACATCTGTACATGAACAATGTATAACTTTTTTTTCGAAAAAATACAGTAGTATAATAATAATTTTAGATCTTTTGAATAAGCACATCCTCATCAACGAAATGAGACAGGATCCCTGACGATTTGAGGATGGAATAAAGAAGTCTTTCATAAAAATCTATATTTTATGATTTTAGAGGGTATTATGGGGATGCACACCCCCTTTAAATCCACCTGTTAATTTTTTGCGATTGCTATTATTAGAGTAAGCTCCCCTTGAGTCGTTCTTTAAACTTTGAAGGTAAGAAAAGTATATTCTTGTAAACATAAAACTTTGAGAGCATGTGGTAATATGTTCTTTACAAGTCTAAGAGAAAATGTCTGAAGAAAACTCATTACAGCTCAATTTCTATGTTGGAAATGAAAAACGGACCAAACAGAAAACGAAATATAGCAAAAAACGGGTAACATTTGGTCATTTTCAACAAGTAGATAATTTTTTTCCTCATTATCTTATCATCATGATCATTAGGTCCAGCATACTCTCTTGATTTAGCTAAAGAACGTGAATTAGCTATATAGCTTTATTAAGATATTCAGAATAGCTTGATCAAGCTATTTATATGCAGTTTTTCACCAAAATGTTTTTGTAAGAAATATACAGTACTGAAAGTTGCATGCATTTGTGCTAACCAAAATCAAAGATAGTTGTAACATTGTAGCCTTTGAATATTTTTAAGCAAAAGATGTATTTCCATTGTTTGGATAACTGTATACCACCTTGTGTGTGTTGAGTAAAGTGGACAGGTATGATTGCTTCACATTGTGTGGAATTTTCACCAATCAATTATCCTTGCTGACCAGAATTGACATCCTTTATAATTGCATTCAAAAAGTAATGATGTGCTCACTAATCAGTTGCTTTATATAGCCCCAAATCTTTTAGAACTTTCAGTACAAAGTCTGTCAAGGAGATGCAGTTTGATGAGCAGTTTTTACATGTATATAATGCTGAAAAAATTATAATACATTTAAGACAAAAAATGTGATAAATAGCTAAATCAAGCTATTCTGAATAGCTTAATAAAGCTATATAGCTAATGCAAGCTACATAGCTTAATCAATAGATTTTGCAGGACCTGATCATCTATACATGTCTACAGCTATTATATATTTATACATAGATCTGCTGAAAATGAATCAGACCTAAAGCATCCAGTCTGATCCTTTTGATTGTGTACAAATCATAATTTGGTATCCTAAGGTTACTGCTAGTACAACCATCATTTTCACTTGCCAATTAGGTTTTCTGATCTGCTACTCTTCTCACCGGTAGCGGATTGGAAACCCTTCGCTAGCAAAGATGGTACATGTACAGCAATATGTCCTATAGACTCTTTCCCATGGTACCAAGGACATCATGTTTTGCATTATGATTTAAAATACATGAATACCTTGGATTTCAAAATAGGTTTGATCAATAGATCTTCTCTTTTTTTTGCCAAACTTTCTGCCTTGAAAGAAACCCTCAAGTCAAACTAGTATATTGATACAGCAGCAAATTCAAAGTCTGTGAGGATTTAACATTATGAAAATGGTCTCTTCTTTGGAAAGGGATCTTTCATTATTCATCTTTTTTCAATGCTTGCCATCAAATTCAATAACATGAAGGTACATGTTCAGAATCAAATTATATGTCACACTCAAGAAATCTTCTCTGGAAAAAACAACAGCTCCCTTTCACACATGACAGCAATATTTACACCCCCCCCCCCTAAAAAAAAAAACAGATTCCTGATTAAGATGAAAAGATTTTAATATGTATACGAAGGATTATGTATATGAAGGAAAGTGGACTGTCTGTGAGAAATGTCTGCTATTTATCATAGACTTACTTGACTTAATCTTCTTCTTTCCTTGTGGAACATAGGGTTGTTACAGTCATTCTCCACCTGACCTGTTTATAGTTGTTTTCTTTGCCTTGTTCCAGTTTAATTGTTCCAATTTCTTCTAGTTCTAGCTCGATCCTCTAGCTCAGTATCAGATGACCTCTTACAATTTCCCTGAGGATTCAATTCTGGAGACTGAACAAGTCATTGGTTAAAATTTTAAGAGTCTTACTGATAGCACAATTAGTTTAACTTAAATTTTCTCTGCTTTGTTAATTAATCAATGTCAATAAAAAAGCAACTTAACACAGTATGTTAACACTAGGAGTGCCCTAGATTATTTAAAGAAGCTCTGACCAAATCATCGGCTCTCGGACCATGTCTTCTACCTCTTCAGCAATACATTCATAACTATTAATAAGCTTTTGATTTCAGCATTTTACCACACTGATAATCATAAATGATTTTTTTCAAGAGATGATTCCCCTTCAATTCTAAAAAAAATTGTTCATCTGCACCAAGTTCAAATTTGGATTAATATGATCCTTAATTTTTTTTTCAGGGAACAAGAATAAAACAAAGGAGATTACAAAAAGCAGCATCAGGACATGATGTTTTTCATTCAGAAAAACCAGATCAACCAGACAAATCAAAGACAATTCAGAAAACAAAGGGTGAAAAAGAGTTTTCATTGACATCAAATAAAAACAAATTTGAAGAAGAATATAACACTGGGAAAGTTCCTGTGAATGTATCCTCTTCTCTGAAGAGAAAACACCCAGAAGACTTGAGAGAAGTGCCATACAAAAAAGAAAAGAATGAAAATAAGGTGTTCATATCCTCTTTGTTCAGGTTTAATCCTGAAATTCCTAATGTTGAAAAGTAAGTCTTTTATTTATTTTGTCTTTTGTTTATTTTATACAAATTATTTTTGAAGTTAAAAAAACACCTGAACATTTATTTCATTAAATTTAGGTCAGCTGTTGCAAGGAAAAGAGAGGAGATTTTTTCTTCAAAATATTTCAAAGACCTAGATCTACATCCCTTCATGGTAAAAAAAATACATTGCATTGTCACAATTTGGGTCATTTTAGGTATAAATGAATATATAAATCTATATTGCAGCAGTTTAGCTTTAATTAACGGGTAAATGATTCATTGATTTGTTTCAGATCTCAAATTTAGAGGAGAGATTCAAGATAACACAGATGACCACAGTCCAGCAGAGAGCCATCCCACAAATTCTCAGTGGACTTGATGTACTGGTCAAGTCACAGACAGGGTCAGGTTAGGACACAGTATTTTTGTAGAGTTTTTTGCATTCTTTTAAGGTTCATCATTCCTCATTTCACTCATATAAGGTTTTATTTTAATGCTAATAATTTCCCTGAAGTAATTTCCATGTAATTTAAGAGTTTATAGATCTGATTAGTATTGCTATCATTGCCCCCTTCTAATTCAATATAATTAGAGGCCCATAATTCTCACCTGGTTCAACTCTCTCTCTCTCTCTCACAGGAATGAAGAAGTATGAATTCAAACTTCTTATTAATAAAAAAAAGATTAAATCTTTACAGCTTTCATTCCTAACAACAGCATCAAACCAATTACACATATGCATCAGATTTAGATATTGTCAATTTCTTAACAACTCTGAAAATATTATTTATAATTGTAGACATTGTATGAACTATTTAGCTTAATATATCTTTTTAAAGTTGCTTTATTATACTCACCCCATTGAAAGGTGGAGGGTTTATGGTGTGGGGATGTCCTCTGTATGTCTGTCCATCTGTTATACCCCATCTCTTATCAGCATCTCCTCCTATACCACTGAATAAAATTTAATGAGACTTTCACAGAATCCTTTTTACATAATACCATTGTACACATCCTATTTTACTTTTTGCTCAGACACATATTTCAGATTTTCCATAGCAAAACATGGACACTGCCATTCTTTTTATAATATTGGGGGTACCCATATATTATCCACAACTCCTCCTATACCACTGAATAAGAATTAGTGATATTTTCACAGAATCCTTATTACATAATAGCATTGCATGTGCACCTTCTAATTCACTTTTTGATCAGACACATATTTTGGGTTTCCCATAGCAAAACATGGACATTGCCATTCTTTCTATATTATTGGGGGTACCCATTTCTTATTTGCAAATCCTCCTATACCACTCAATAAAATTTAATGATACTTTCTTTATTACATAGTGCCATTGTGCACTTCCTACTTAATGTTGATTGGACAGATTTTTTTGGCTTTCCCATAGCCAAAAAAATGGTTTTGCCATTATACTTACCTGGTATATGAGAGTGTTTGGGGGGGGGGGGGGTTATTTTGTGAGCTCGCTTCTCTCAGTACCTGTAATTTAGATATTCAAGCATAAATTTCTCTGAAATGTTCACTTATGTTTTGCATGTGGAATATTGACACAGTATGGAGACCTGATTATTTTCTACTTTCCGCTGTTCTTAAAACAATGCATGAAAAAAATGCTCATAAGAATTTGTCTCCTTCAGAGCATTTGCAATCAAAGTTCTAATAATTTTAAGGTAATATAAGCAGTTGATGACAAAACAGTTACTTCTTGAATGAAATTATAAGAAAGCTAATTCTGGTTAACAAGAAAAATTCAGCACCATGTTAAGTAATCATACTTATCTGTGACTCACTGCACACAAGGTGATGTACAGTTACCCAAACAGTGAGAATACATGTCCAAAAGCAGCAATGTTAAATACGTCATAGATTTGGTTTGCTTGTCCGTAGTATAAATATGATTAGTCACACATTTGCAACTTTGTCTATTTTACATAAAAGGCATATTTAGGACAAAAAAACTGCATTTAACTAGCCAGTGAAGCTATATTTAATAGTTTGTTAAAGCTATAGAGCAAATACAAGTTACATAGCTTAATCAGGAGATTGTGCCAATCCTGTCTTACATTGTACATAAAAGATTGCATGTATTTTGTACTTTTCCTCTTTAGTATTATTCACCAGTGATCTATTTTCTGTGTTTAAATGACACTTCACAATTAGTCCACCTTGTGTGCGATGAAGCATAGATAATTTAGATAACTTTGTACTGTTACTAATCATTACAAATCAGGATTGGCTTTACTGTAACATGTATTAAGTTTTGATCCTGGAGTAACTATTTACCACCAACAGGTCTAGGAAAATCACTATATTTAGCTATATAGCTAAATCTACCTATATAGCTTTATTTACCTATATAATATAGCTTTATTTAGCTATTTCAGAGTAAATTTCTGTTTTATGAAAAGCAGACAAAAAGTCGCATAATGAGGCAGTATTAGTTTTCAACTTTGAAATGGACTGAAAACAATTCACCAAAAACCCACTTTTAAAAATGTTTCTCCTTTTGTGCAATTGCAATCAAAGATCTAAAAGTTTTGGGGCTATGTATAACAGTTAATCTGTGAATAAGCAGCTACTTTAACAAAGAAAAGCAGTTTTGGTCAACAAGATAATTGATTGGTAATAATTCAGCACAATGCAAGGCAATCACACTTAGTCATGCCTCATCGCACTTCCAGTAATGGACAGCTATCCAAACAATAGAGATGCATTTTTGGTTAAAAAGTGTTTAAAAGAGGCAATGTTTTTACTATCTATGCCCTAGGTTGTTTTTATCAAACCTTTTTAAAAAAATATCAGCCATAATTTTCATGCGACTTTTTGTTTGCTTTTCATAAAACAGAAACTTATTCTAAAATAGCTAAATAAAGCTATATTATATAGGTAAATAAAGCTATATAGGTAAATTAAGCTATATAGCTAAATACAGTGATTTTCCTGGACCTGACCAACTTAATAACTGCAGATAGCTCCAAAAACTGTAGATAAGTACCTTTATTCAGCTTGAAAGCCAGACATACATGTAGTGATTATCCCTGAACTGTAAATTTACAGGTGCTCGGCTTGTTTTAAGGTTGCTATTTACCTATTTTATTAAGTCCTTCAAATTAAAATTTCATTCAGTATCATAAGATTAAAATACAATGGTATCAAAGTGAACCTAAAATTATATGTCGGTGAAGATAGAGTTACTTGCTCAGATGTACAGCATCCATTGATTACACTTACCTGACTGCAGATTTGAAGCTCAATGGTCTGCATCTATACAGTACATGTAACCCAAACCTGGTACACCAATTAACAAATATAACAAATACTCACAAAGATAAGTACTCAATCAGAAAGGATTATCAGTTGACAAGGACTGTCTCAAACAGTTCTGCTGAGTGATAAGTACTCACCCAGATAGGTCTACCCATTGAGTAGTATTCACTAAGGTAGGTCTACCAAGTGAGTACTACTCACTCAGAGAGGTCTGTGCAGTGAGTAGTATTCATCCAGGTAGGACTACTAAGTGAGTAGTACTCACCAAGATAGGCTTATACAGTGAGTAGTACTCACTTAGGTAGGTCTACCAAGTGAGAACTACTCACCAAGAGAGCTGTACCCAGTGAGTAGTACTCACCAAGATAGGCTTATAAAGTGAGTAGTATTCACTTAGGTAGGTCTACCAAGTGAGAACTACTCACTCAGAGAGGTGTATGCAGTGAACAGTACTCACCCAGATAGCTCTACACAGTGAATAGTACTCACAAAGGTAGGTCTACCAAGTGAGAACTACTCACCTAGGGAGTTCCATGCAGTGAGCAGTACCCACTCAGGTGGTTCAGATTTTTTTCTGATATATTATTTCAGAACACACAATTTTCAGCTTACAATATTGAGCAGGTCAGGCGTAATCTTTTGATTAAGCCACAGTGTATATAAAACTTGAATTTGCTACATGGCTTAAATAAGCTATTCAAAATAATTAAGATATTAAATGCAGTTTTTCACAATAAAATAGACAAAAAAAATGTAAATATGAGACTAATCATATTAATACTATGGACTATTAAAAATCTAAATCCAAGATGAATTTAACATTTTTGCTTTTGAACACTTTTAAGTAAATTTAAAGATGTATTTCCATTGTTTGGGTAGCTGTAAACCACCTTGTGTGCAGTGAGTCATCATAAGTGTTATTACTTAACATTGTCTAATTATTACTAATGAATAAGCTTGTTAACCAGAATTGACCATTTTGATTTCCTTGAAGAAGTGACAACTGTTTGGTCATGAATTACTGCTTTACAAAGTCCCAAAACTTTTAGAATTTTGACTGTAAATGCTCTGAAGAAGAGAGTTTTTAACAAAGTAGAGAGTTTTTAACAAAGTTTGTTCATGCATTGTTTTCTCACAAGCTAAAACTTGCACATTCCAGAAAAAAATATAAGAATAGCTAAATAAAGCTATTTTACACACCCAAATAAAGCTACAGGGTATATAGCTACATGTACCGTTAATTCAAGCTTTATCTTGAGAGTGGTCTGGACTTGTTATCTGCACACTTCAGAAATATTACATGCGTGATTGAGATTTTGTTTCATCATTTAAAAATTGCTTTGTGTACAAATCTGAAACATAATGATGGGTCATGATTTTTTTAAAATCTGAAATCAGTCTTATTAAAATATAGAATGAGGCAGTTAAGGTGTAATCTGTGTTAATTAAAAGATTAATTCCTTCCAAGAATAATATTAGTAACCCTAGAAAAAGACTTTTAAAAGATTTACTGCAATTCCAAGTATTATCAACTTTGCCCAGTCCAGGTGGCTGAGCTATGGAACCAGGGTACACCTATATCACAATTTTGATATTTTTATTCCATCATATAGACATAACAAGGAATATTAACAATTTCATTTAAAAACATTTAATTCCGGAGGTTTTTGCACCCCCTTCTAATGCCACAAAAAGGTTAATGTACCATCTGCAAGGAATTGTAGTAGAAATTTCAGGAAAATGTTGAAAAGGTTCAAAATTTTTATTGACAAACTGACAATGGATGGACTGACAAAAATGTGTAGCACTAAAGGTGTAGGTTGCCCAAGTAACCCAGTTAACCAGTTTTAAGACGTATACACTGCATTTCACCTTTCCTTTTGTAACTACACAGGCAAGACACTAACATTTGCAATACCAGTAGTGCAACACTTGCAAGGAATCAAGCCAAAGATTTCAAGAATGGATGGAGTACATGCTCTTATCATTGTTCCTACAAGGGAGGTAAGTCTAGCTAGGGATATTGATAAATATTTGAAAATGATAAATTTGCACTGAAGAGATTTTAAAATGTAACATATTTTGTCTTTCAGTTGGCCATTCAGTGCTTTGAAACCTTCAAGAAACTGGTCAATGTAAGTAAACCTTTTTCATAGTTTAGGTACTATATGTATGAGGGATGTAGAAGTTTGTTTAATTTTTTGTTTTAGTCTCACTATGGCACAAATTCATGGATGTTTTGAATCCATTCAATGAGTAATGTGAAGAAAAGACATTAAAAATTTTTGCAGAAATTCAATTAAAAATGAGGGAATGGTTCTTTCTGGCAAATTTTCAAAATCAGTAGAATTAATTAAAGTGAATGTTTTTAGCCATTCCAGTGGGTAGTACCAGGCTGTTTAATGGGGGGTGAAAAACGAAAATCAGAAAAAGCAAGATTGCGGAAAGGGATGAGTATTCTAGTGTGTACACCTGGACGACTGCTGGACCACATCAAACACACTAATAGCCTGCATCTGGATAAAGTTAAATGGCTGGTGATAGATGAAGCAGACAGGTTTGTTGTTTTCTTTTTTTGTGTGTCATCTGCATGGTAGACAGATATGGATTATTGTGTTTCTAGAAGAATAATACAATATATTCGAATTGTTAGAAATTTCTTACATCAAATTTTTATCTTTGAGGAAATTTTTATCACAGTACCGGTAATATGGAACACATCTCTCAGATCTATAATCATTAAAAGAATTCAAATTGAGTGCAAATGAAATTATTGTTAAGTTTTGTATATAAACTGGATATCCTAATCACATGTTGAAAATATGTATCAATGAGTAAAGAATTAACAATATTTTTTTTATTTCAGAATGTTAGATCTTGGTTATGAGAAGGATGTAGGAGAAATTATCACTGCCCTGGACACAGAGAGTCACAGACAGACTGTGCTTCTGTCAGCTACGTTAACAGAAGGTAAATTTTACCTTAGCTTTGATGAAGATCAATTTGTTCTCAAGATTTATATTTGTCTATACATGTACTTGTAAATACATGTAAAAACTTTCAGAAACATAGCAATATCTGTATATTTCATGAATTAAAGGGGTCTGGATGCAGTTTTAAGTTTATTTCCATAATATGTTTTGATAAAATCCATGTCTTACATGTGCGAGAGGGTTTCAGGCCAATATATTTTAAGAGTATATGTTTAAAAACTTCTTTTATTTGAAAATTTATAAAAATTACGAATTCTGGGCATGTTTTATTGACATACATCCTTCCACACTCACAAACTAAAATCTATCCTTTATATACCCAGTATAAGAAAAGTGAAAAATATGTGGTGTATTAATAAAAGATATTAAAGCTTTAGTCAAGAAAAGTCAGAATAGAAATGAAAGAAAGCAAAACCAACACACCAGTATTGCCTGTTTGTGTTCAGTAAAACATAAACAAAACAGTGCTCATACCCATGTATACAACCACAGGTCTTTGCTGAAGAATACCATTGTGATTGAATATTAAGAGTTTGTAAATTCAAATAATAAGTTATTTTTACAATAAATATATAAATTTAAAACTGTAAAAAAGAAAATGGCAATGCAAGTGTGTCCATTCCCCTTTAAGTATATTCACTTTAAAAAAGTTTCTAATTTCATCTACAGAATGTAGTTGATATTGTACTGACCAACAAAATCCCTCAATAAATTATTTATGTAACAACAGGTGTAGAGAGGCTAGCTGGAATGTCTCTGACAGATCCACTCAAGATAGATGTATCCAATTCCGAGGAGGAGCACAACTCGTCGACTGTACAGAGCTCTGCTCAGAGCAAAGAGCAAGATAAATCTGAGAACTTTGTTGTGCCTGAAAAATTGAAGCAGAACTTTGTGATTACTCCTTGCAAACTGAGATTGGTCACTCTCACAGCATTCATCCTCCTTAAAATTAAGGTAGTACATTGTAACTTGACTTTACAGATCTGGGGCCCATTTTACAAAAGAACTTACGACTAAGACCAGAATTTAATTCTGCTAATAACTTTCTAATTTACATTAAATAGAAAATGAATTTAATCTTTTTAACAAGTATGTAGAAAGATACTTTTACACTAGCAATTGTAAACAGAATAATTAATTTTACAAAATTTTACAATCAACTAAAGTTTTTGGTCTTAGTCGTAAGTTCTTTAAAATTTGGAAAACGGGCCCCTGGTACCTAATTTAATTAATTTAATTGAATGACAGTGGTTCACTTTCATAAGAGTTTTATAGATAAATTCTCTCCGAAAAAAAAAAAATTATGTGCAGCGCTACATTAAAAATTCTACACAAAAGGTACTCTAGGTCACTAATTTTTTACAACACCTTATTTCTGTGAAAAAGATATGTCTTTTTTTTAGCAAGACAAAATTTTCATGAATTTCTGTTACTGTTGTACATAATCTTTAATAATAAAATATATGCGAGAATGAATCTTTGCAAGCTCACTGTCTCACGTAATTAAGCAAAAATGATGTTCATATAAAAAAAAGTGATTTACAGTATACAGTTCAGTGTTGATTTTAAGTTTTTGAAAGACTTTAAAAATGGTCAGTGTTACCTTGTAGATGGTGTCTAGCCCAGGAAAGATGGTGGTATTCCTATCCACTCAGGACTCTGTAGAATTCCACTACCAGCTGATGAATCATTTCTTTGGAGGGGAAGGGGCAGAGGAGAATGCTAATCTGGCTGAGGAGGGGGACATTGACTTCTACAAGCTTCATGGAGACATGCCACAAAAGGTTTGTTCCTTATTAAATACATTTTATATATAAAAAAAAGAAGACTTATTTGTCAAATCTACATGTATGTACAGGATGATAGTTCTTTATTTTATACAAACATACAATGGAATGAATGTACATGTATTGTAGGAAAGAACTAAGACTTACCAAGAATTTTCTACTGCAAGGACAGGAGTCTTGTTCTGTACAGTGAGTAATCGATTTTTTTTCTCTTATACCGGTACTTCATTTTTGAAAAATATCATTTTATTTTCTTCAGTTGATGTTTTTCACTTGTCAATAAAATTGGGTAATACATGTACATGAACTAAAGCTAATATACATGCACTCTCCATATACAATAGCTACATATACAACCTAATATTAAGAATTAGTTCTTTTTTTTAAGGAATATTAAGAAATTATACACATTTATCCATCTAATGTCTCATGGATTTGCTAATTATTTTTTCTGTTTAGGATGTTGCTGCTCGTGGCCTACACTTACCCGATGTAAGGTGGATTGTTCAGTACACCACCCCTGGGGCTGTACAGGGCTATGTCCACAGAGTCGGGAGAACGGCCAGAGTGGGGAAACAGGGCCATGCCCTCCTCTTTCTCATGCCAGCTGAGGTGGAATATCTGAAGTCTCTGGCAAGTCATGGAATAAGGTACAAAAAGTTCTGTACTTGCATACTTGATTGATGAAAATTTGACATTAATTATAGGTTGAAATTAAACTCCTTTATTAAGGTTCATTGGTACTCTGGTAAGAGAGATAACTCTTAACTAGTATAAATGACTAATAATCCTTTTAATATAAAATTGTCATGTTAAGAGGCCATTGCTGTGAAAATTTGCCCCACAAAGTATGCTGAAATTGTGTGAATTTTAATTATAAATTAGAATTCTTTTGAACAAACATAAGCATCAAGGAAAGATTTTAAATGAGTGATCAGAGAGAGATGAGGAACCTTAACTTCAACCTGAATCTGATGTTGAACCTTTATATACCAGTACATCTTCATGTCAACTGATGTCATCTCTGGTAGTATGACAAGGAAATTTTAAAATCAAAAGTGCCTTTATACTTTTAGTGTGGAAGAAGTTAATATGGCAGACATCTTGAAGACATTAATTATTGCTGTACAAGATATGGTTTCAGAAACAGAGAAAAAGGTAAGACAAAAGTGAAAAAATGTCTTTTTCTAACGTATAGCATATTGTTCTTAAAAACTAGCAGTTAAAAAGATTTATACCAAAATTCATGGTTTTGATTCCTTCAATATTACAGAGGACTCCATCCAAAACATTTGAAGAGTGTGCCACCTACCTGCAGCTTTGCTTTGAGAATCATGTGGCAGAAGACAAAAAAATGTCCCAACTGGCTAGGAGAGGTATGCACCGTAATAATGCACCGTAATAATGTGTTTTTCATGCAGATTTTTTTCATGGTTCATATGTAAAGTTTAAATGAAAAACATCCTGCGGCATCCTGTGGCAATATATTTCTCTACCTGATATCATTTGTATGTGCACTGAAATATTTTAAATCACCAACTAAAAATGCACACTTCAAATAACTATGACTGCAGTATAATGCATGCAAAAGATCTTTTTGTTCTTGACTGACTATGTCAAGGAATAAAAGCCACCTGTAAATTTCTACAATTTTTATGCCCCCCCTTCAAAGAAGGGAGGGCATATTGCTTTGCTGCTGTCTGTCGGTCGATCTGTCTGTCTGTCTGTCGGTCCACCAACAGTTTCTGTTCATTTTCTTCACAGAGGTTGCACATACTGAAATGAAATTTGGTATACAGATTTATCATAGGAATATCTAGGTCAACTTTTGTTTTGGGTACAATCGAGCAATTTTTGACAGAGTTTTGCCCCTTGGACTTAGGAAAATTCCAATTATTTGCAGTTTCCGTTCATTTTCTTTGCAGAGGTTGTTCATACTGAAATGAAATTTGGTTTACAGATTTATCATAAGAATATCTAGGTCAAATTCTGTTTTGGGTACAATCGAGCAATTTTTGACAGAGTTATGCCCCTTGGACTTTGAAAAATTCCATTTATTTGCAGTTTCTGCTCATTTTCTCTGCAGAGGTTGCACATACTGAAATGAAATTTGGTATACAGATTTATCATAAGAATATCTAGTTCAAGTTCTGTTTTGGGTACAATTGAGCAATTTTTGTCAGAGTTATGCCCCTTGGACTTAGAAAAATTCCAATTATTGGGGGGGGGGGGGCATAAGTGTTTCACAAACATCTCTTGTTTTTTTTAGCTCACCTGAGCCGAAGGCTCAAGTGAGCTTTTCTGATCGAAATTTGTCCGTTGTCTGTCGTCATTGTTGTTGTAAACTTTTCACATTTTCATCTTCTTCTCCAGAACTACTGGGCCAATTTCAATCAAACTTGGCAAAAGTATCCTAGGGTGAAGGGGATTCAAGTTTGTTCAAATGAAGGGCCACGCCCTCCTCCAAGGGGAGATAATTACGAAATAGCAAAAATTAATGGCATTATTGAAAAAATTTTCTTCTCAAGCACCAACGGGCCAGGAAAGATGAAACTCATGTGGAATCATTGTCCGGTAGTGTAGATTCAAGTTTGTTCAAATCATGACCCCCAGGGGCAGGGTGGGGCCACAATGGACGATCAAAGTTTTACATAGGAGTATATAGGAAAAATCTTCAAAAATCTTCTTTCAAGAACAGCAAAGCTATGATTGGTCATATTTATGTGGAAGCATCCTCAAGTGATGTAGAATCAAGTTTGTTCAAATCATGACCCCGGGGGTAGGGTGGGGCCACAATGAGTGATTAAAGTTTTACATAGGAATATATAGGAAAAATCTTTAAAAATCTTCTCAAGAACAGCAAAGCCACTGTTTGTCATATTTATATGGAAGCATCCTCAGATAGTGTAGATTCAAGTTTGTTCAAATCATGACCTCCAGGGGTAGGGTGGGGCCACAATGAAAGTTTAAACTTGTAGAGAAAAAAGTCACAGTTAGTCAAAAAATTATGTAAGCATCCTTAGTTAGTGTAGATTTAATTTTGTTCAAATCATACCCCCACTCCCTTTAAGGGGTAGGTTGGGATCACTTTTGCATTTAAGCTTTTCAATACTAAACTGATTTTTCCTTTTTCCTCGCCACAGTGCTTAGGTGAGCGATGTGGCCCCTAGGCCTCTTGTTTAACTTTGCAAGCGATATTTGAATTATTTCCTTTCATGCAGCCTTCCAGTCATTTGTGAGAGCTTATGCAACGTATCCTTCTAGTCTGAAGACAATATTCCACGTCAGAAACCTACATTTGGGCCACCTAGCTAAGAGCTTTGGATTGCGAGATGCCCCCTCAAACATCAACGAGAAGACTGGAAAACAGAAAACGTTTACAAAGAAACAAAAGTCAAAAAAAGATAGGTAAGGATTTTTTTTTTACCTTTATTTTTTTCCAAACATAAAAAATAGCATTTAACACTATCAAACAATATGTCAAACATATATGAAAAAATAAAATGATAAAGATTTTAGAACATGAAGCATGATAGCACATTGCTCGTTTATATTTTTTTCTTTTAATTATTGAGGCATATTGATGCATTCCTGTACATGCTGAAATTGAAAATAAGTTTATGTACAAACTGTACATTGCGTATCACAAAAAGTACAAAATAACTAATTATTAAGTATATACAAATACTGCTGATCATAAAAAAAGATGTCTGGTGATCTAGAGTTTTACAAACTCTTCACCCAGGCAAGGCTTTAAAAAATGCACATGTATAAATGGAGTTATTACAATCTCCTGAACACATATCTTATCAAGCTGAAATCTATAGACATAATGTGATAAAAAACAAATCAGAAAAAAAATTAACTGCTTTGTATAACATGTAGCCTTTCATTAATTTTGTGCAAAACAAACAACACTTTCCCAATAAAAGCTTTAGAGCTTTAAAATTACAGACAATTGTGAGCACAATATTTATTACGGGTATTATGTCAATAGGAGATCATCTGCACAAAATGAGACAACTTTGCCTATGTACAACCTTGATAATTGTCCATATCCCAAAATACAAAACAAACAAACCTCTTCATCTCAAACTAAATAGGGCCAAGAAAATATTTCAAGATACAATATCTGAGGATTTGAGATACTGAGGTTAAAATACATAAAGAAAAGAGGCTAGCTTAAGGACTTCCAAGATTCCAACTCCGTTCGACATGTCCATGGTATTTTAGATATCCATGTTCGAGATTCCAAAAGTTCGATAGTAATTATACCAGTATTCTAAGGGTTACCACTCCTAGCATAGTGAAAGAATTTGCACTTGCCTGTTATATACTAATATGTAGATAATTTGATTGTTTCAGATTTGGTTCAGAAGGTGGAGGACATACCAATAAATCTCATTTCTCATCATTGACAGTGTCAGAGTTTTCAAGTGGACTATCTAAAGCAAGCTTATCAAAACAAAAACATTGATACATGACCTGTAAATTTAATTACTTGTATTTTTAATAAATGCAAAACCTGCAACTCTCATGTTTAATTTGTAACATTACAAGAGGCCCATGGGCCACAGCGCTCACCTGAGTAACTTTGGCCTTGCTGTTTTTCACCTGATTTCTCCCCCCCCCCTCGTAGTACTTATTGTGGTCCCTCCCCCCTACCCCCGAGGGTCATGATTTGAACAATTTAGAATCTACACTACCCAAGAATGTTTCCACATTAGTTTCAGCTTTTCTGGCCCAGTGGTTCTTGAGAAGAAGATTTTTACTACATATTTCAATGTAAAACTTGGATTCCCTATTGTGGCCCCACCCTACCCCCCGGGGGTCATGATTTGAACAATTTAGAATCTACACTACCCCAGGATGCTTTCAAATAAGTTTCAGCTTTTCTGGCCTAGTGGTTCTTGAGAAGAAGATTTTTAAATATTTTTACTATATATTTCAATGTAAAACTTGGATTCCTTATTGTGGCCCCACCCTAACCCCGGGGGTCATGATTTGAACAATTTAGAATCTACACTACCCAAGGAAACTTCCAAATAAGTTTCAGTCTTTCTGGCCTAGTGGTTCTTGAGAAGAAGATTTTTAAAGATTTTAACTACATATTTCTATGTAAAACTTGGATTCCTTATTGTGGCCCCGCCCTAACCCCGGGGGTCATGATTTGAACAATTTAAAATCTACACTACCCCAGGATGCTTCCACATAAGTTTCAGCTTCTCTGGCCCAGTGGTTCTTGAGAAAAAGATTTTTAAATATTTTTACTATATATTTCAATGTAAAACTTGGATTCCTTATTGTGGCCCTGCCCTAACCCCAGGGGTCATGATTTGCACAATTTAGAATCTACACTACCCCAGGATGCTTCCACATAAGTTTCAGCTTCTCTGGCCCAGTGGTTCTTGAGAAGAAGATTTTTAAAGATTTTTACTACATATTTCTATGTAAAACTTGGATTCCCTATTGTGGCCCCGCCCTAACCCCGGGGGTCATGATTTGAACAATTTAGAATCTACACTACCCCAGGATGCTTCCACATAAGTTTAAGCTTTTCTGGCCCAGTGGTTCTTGAGAAGAAGATTTTTTAATGACCCCACCCAATTTTTGTATTTTCTTGATTATCTCCCCTTTGAACAGGACTTGGCCCTTCATTTTAATAATTTAAACTCCCCTTTACCCAAGGATGCTTTGTACCAAGTTTGGTTAAAATTGGCCCAGTGGTTCTTGAGAAGAAGTCGAAAATGTGAAAAGTTTACAGACGGACGGACAGACGGACGACGGACAACGGGTGATCAGAAAAGCTCACTTGAGCTTTCAGCTCAGGTGAGCTAAAAAGTGTAATCATTTCACTTCTTTAAGGTGACATGAGTCTCACATAAATAAACTTAAGAAAAAAATTATGAACATATTTACCAAACATTATCGATAATGGTATTATATTGCGTATTTGTTAGTTTAAATAAGGAATACACCCACTTTGTTCTAACGTCATGAATAGGACAAAAAGAGAGATTGTCAAATATAGAAAAGTACATATATACACCAAACATTCCACACAAAGTAGTGTGTTTGAGAATCAATTTAAATTATGGTAATTAACAATGGGATTGTGCTCAAATATTCTTGAAAATGTTTAAAGGATACTTTTAAGTGAACAAATTGAACTTAAAATCCATGAACACAGGAATCCTTAACTTAATTAAGTGTAAATCTTTAAATACAAATACTTCAAAACAAAGCAATACTTGCAAACCGGCCCTTGCAAACAGAGGTGTTAATCTTTATGTGAAAGATAAAGATAAGGTACTGAATTTTCTACAGCAGGCAAGATAATTAATCCCAGGGGATTAATTGTACTGCTGTTTCATCCTTTTATTATAAGTTTACAACCTTTTATTAGTTAAGAACATTTTCACCAATGATAGAATGAGGCTATTTTTACTGTACCTGTTAATAGTTTCCTTTAATTTATATAAGGCAGCAATAAAAAAACAATATATTTTTAAAAATAAAAATTTTTTTTTACTCTATCTCTTTCTTTTCTTTTTTTTTTTACATTAATTCCCAATGAAAATTATATTTCAATAAAATGTGTAATTGTATGGTGGACAATGGGCATCACAAAAATCCACCCTACTGTGAATGCAAACATGGTCCAAGATTGACCTTAACTTCAAAATAAACATCACTTGCGGACAGAGCAGTTAATCTCAATCTTACAGATCGAGATCAGGCTTTTGATTTTCTACAGCAGACAAGTCAATCAGGGGACTCATTGCAGCTTACATAGTTTACAAGTAGAACATTATCAGCAGTTATATCTCTTTGCCCATTCATTCTTATCCACACCACCACCCCAGTTCCAACCCAAATGACAATCAAACTAAATACCAAATAAGTCTCACTGCCTTTTCAACCTACATACCAAATTTGAACTTAATAGGACAACAGTCAAAAAAGGTATTAGGGAAAAAAAAAGAAAATTTGCAGACCTAAGAATGACAGACGGACAGATGGACAGAGTGATTACTGCAGGGCACCCGCAAATCCGTGGGAGCCCTAAGGCCATAAAAAATTAATAGTTTCTCAGGTCAAGAATTTCAAAATTTAATGCGGCAGGCAGTTTCTTTTTTTAAGCAGATGTTATACCTTTTTTCATGTCAGTCGTTCAACAAAATGATGATATCAACTGATTCTGACTTTTATTGTTCTCTTACATTAATTATAATATGTTTTCAACTTTAAATTATGTTTTTCCAAACAAAGTTAATTCATAAAATACCATATTAACAAGAAATGTATTGTTTATCTAATAAAAACGTCTATCTATTAGCATTTACGAAAAGAGAATAACTCAATTTTCTTTTTCAACTTGGAAAAATAGAAAACTGAGTTATTTCCCTTTTCAATATGTCAATAAAATTGATCAATGCTACAGTGTTTGACCTGATGCGGTGGTGCCTGAGAAACTATTGATTATTTTTTTTGGCCTAATTAGCCCCATCTCTGTTTACATTCATAATTTATTCATAAATTCATATTTTAATGTTAATCAAGAATTAGCACATGTTGTCTAATGTGTGATGTGCTAAATTAAAAGTCCCACTAAGTAAATTGAGTAAATAAGTAAACAAACAATAGTCTGTAAACCAACACAGCTACAAGTACACTCTTCTATACTCTTGGATTGAACTTTGACAAGTGGGACAGACTTTCGTCCGTGTCATAATGGATTCTGCACACTCTGTACACAAGTGCAAATGTCCACATGGAAATACAGCAGCATTTCTCTGCCTTTCAAAGCAGACTACACAAAAAGCGTTGTCTACACTGTCATTACGTTGCCTTCTGCGAACTGTTGTGTTGTTTCTAGATAAATTACTGTTTTCATTCCTGGATTCAGCTAATTCTGTTTCTGAGTCACTGCTACTACCATCAGCTTCTGAGTCTGAACTTTCACTTTGGACTCCTTCATTCTGAATTTGGATATACCTGATTGAATTTCTGATCCTTCTCCGTTTTTCAGGCAGTCGAACTACAAGTCGTTCTCCTTGAAACACTGCAGCAGGTTCTCTTTGGGGTAGAATTCTATTTATTTGTCTACGTTCTAATTCGCGAACTGCATTTCTGTCATTGTCCTCAGAAGCCATGTTAATTTCTGCTTCTTCCATGCTGTTCTCTTCATTTTCATTCTCCTGGTTTTCATACTCCATCCTCCTATTCACTTCTTGAATCATATTTCTGTTGTTGTCATCAATTTCATTGGAGTTGACACTTTTGAAGAGACTCTCTGACCATATAAGACATAGACAAAATAAACAAAAACAGAATACCCAGCTCAATGCTGCAAGGAAGACATCCCCAGTGCCAAGTACTCCTTTCAGAACTTGTTTTACTACCCAAATTACAAATGATGCCACTATCATCACAACCTTCCATACAAATGGTAGGCAAGTAATGCACGCGGAAACAACATGATTTGACAATTCAAAAACATATCCAATCATAATATAAAGTGTTTGTCCCATCAATCTCAACAGTGATGTCATAAAGTCAATGAGAAGATGGTCAGTGGTTATTATTCCTTGGGTAGATGTCATCAGTAATGCCAATGAAATCGATCCTATGAAAAAAAGAAAGAGAAACATTGTGCATATTCTTTAACACTCGCACACTTCTGAATCCAATTTATTTCCTCTTTTCTCTCCAATACAAGATATATAGTTCTCACTGCAACTACCATTTACATCTACTTTCACTTTTGTTACTTTCGGAACCTTTTTAATTTTTCCTTATTGTTTAAATGAAGTATCCAGAGAACAAGCTCAACTAAGATTATTTTATTTCAAACGATATTAATAATTTTACATAAATAAGCTCATTTATATATGTTATCACTTTGAATTACTTCACTTGTTGTTTTTTGTTGAGAAATTCAATTATAGGGCAAAATTTACATTGAATTCTTTCATATCTTATTTTTCGTTTTGTCTAGAAAATTAAGAAGAATGTTTTGGCAAAAGAATGAAAGACTGAGACAGGCAACTAATAATTATTTGGTATAAGCGTAGTATATGGATGCAGTAAAGCTCTGAAGAATATAAATGTGTGAAATATGGAAGATTTTGTATACTCAGTTTACTCAACTTTTTGCATTGTGTTTAGAAATATACAATATTACACAGCGTCCATCATAAAGATAAACTATGATGTTATATCTGGTTTCATAGCCTTCCTGTCGGAAGTGATTCGTTTATTTGTAAAATGCATGGATGTAACGTTTAATGTTGTATTGACGATTCTTGAAGCTTCAATTGACTTTTTAACAGAGTGCTTCAATTTTCTGAGAGCATTTCTCCAGTTACTATGGAAGTTTATTTTGTTATTGTTTAGTATTCTGGATCTTGTGTTAAAAGGTTTAGAACAAATAGTTTATTTTATATGGAGTGGTGGGAAATGGACAGCTGGGGCACTGTCTGCATCTTTGGAAAATGTCAAAGTGATAGCTGTGTCAATCTTTGAATATTTGGAGGTATTTTTCACTTTTGTCTTCAGGAATGTTTCAAGTGCATTATATTTGTTTGGAACATATTCACTGAACTTTCTTATTGGTGCCTACAATTTTCTCACATGGATATTCTTTGGTGCTGCTTCGCTAGTGGACAATGCCATGATATACTTTGCAGATTCAGTAAAATTTGTTGTGGACTCTGTATATTATGCACTGACCGACATTTTCCCAAACACACCTAGAGAAACGTACATGGGCATTTTGATGATTGTTTTGTTTTATATAGCCCTAGTGCATGCTGTGAGCAGACTGTACAGTCGAGGCTACACATTTCCCTATCCAAATAATATGAACCACAACAACGTTCCATATCCAAGATTTGGAAATGAGTTTTCTGATGATGAATTTGGAATGAGTGCGGATGAGGAGAACGATAGCAATAATTCTGACACAGACAGTACTACGACATCTGTGGAAAATGAAGATGATGATGATCTTTCAGATGATGATGAATTCTCTGATGAAGCATCAGAGTTGTCCGTTGTTGATGAGAGTGATGATGACCATTCTTCAAATGATAGTGACAATTCAATTGAGCCCATTGATATTCAGCTCCCCGTGGAGCCACAGTACAACCTCAGGAGATCTGCCACCCCTAATAGACAGAAGAGAAAGTCAACTCAAGACATGGAGAAAGAGATAGAACGAGAGCGTGAGAGACAGATGTGTGTTGTTTGTCAAGACAATAAAAAATCGGTGCTCATATTACCCTGTAGGCATATGTGTCTGTGTGTTGACTGTGGGCACAGAATTGCCAAGGCCAGACCACTTGCAAGGAGAATATGTCCTTTATGTCGAGAGAAAATCAGAACAATCATGAATGTTTACTTGTAGAATAAGAATCATGGATATACTTGTAGAATAAGAATCATGGATGTTTACTTGTAAATTGAAAAGTTTGGCATTATTTGAAAAAAAAATTTGGTAAAATCAGTTCATGTACATAGTACAATGCTTTGTCTATTGTTGCATATAAGTTCTATTTAAAATTTGTTGTTTTCATTTTTACCCTAAATTCATTATTGTTTGGATTGCGAGTTTCATTTATATGTGTAGTTTGAAGTGCTTTCATTTTAATTATGTGATGATTATAATGATGAGTTACAAAATTGTCAGACATATGTTGAAATCTATAATGCACTTTGACATGACTGTTATTTTCATTCAGGTTAAAACTTTGCTAAAACAGCTGTAGAACTTAGTTTTTCATTAGATCTACTTATGCATACTACAAAGACTGATCTTTTGATAGTAATCTATCTGTATTTTGCTAGGAAACAGCTGTTGATTTTTAATTTAAAAATTATGTTTACAAACTATGATTGATGTAATCCTTTTGATTTTTCTGTTAAAAAAATTTAGATGTAAATCATCCTTATGTTTCTTTTTTTTAATAATAATTCAAAGTTACATTTATTTATTAGCAATGTGTTTTGATTTTGGGGGGTAAACTGACCTCTTGTTAGAAGTGACCTCTTGTTATTGTTGTTGATACATGTAATTTACTGATAATGTTTAAATAATTAAGGCATATATATGTTGCAGAGATCATGTAGAAAACTTGACAAATGTAATTTACCTACTTGAAGTATCATACATACCTGGTTCCTTGTATCACATAAATATTATATAAAGTGTTTTAATTTGTAATATGATATTACTCTTCAGTATTTTTTTTTTTTTTTTTTTTTTTTTGTGGTTTAGAAGATTTGCACTTGTGGTCATGATATTAATTCAAATTATTGAGTTCAAATTATTATATTCAGAGTCAAATAACTTTATGGATGTTGCATCACTATTTCAATTGTAAGATACATGTATTTGAGTGGTAGTGGTATGGTTATACCCTATAAATGATCTTTGTAAGTGTCTACTTTTTGGTATATTTAGAATAATGCTAGTAATTGTTTTGAATTGATCAATGATGATGATGAATGGGGGAAATTAAAAAAAAAACACACATGAAAAATGAGTAATTTTCAAAGGGTAAAAAGCATTTTTTTGTACATGTACGTGTAATGCTTGTTTACTGCTCATTTATGATTCACCAATTGTGTTCAGAAAAGTATTTTGTAATTAAAATTAATTATCTATTAGCTGTTTTTATTTTTTTTTTTATGCATAAAGCAAAGAAAAAATTCACTAAAACCAAAACAGACATTTGCCTCAATAAGATGAGTGTTGACATCGTATAAATGTTTGAAGTCTTCTACCATTGAAGGAATTGCAAATGAATTTCAAAGTTGCAGTCTGTGAGATTTCAACCAGTTTTGTAGGAATTATGGTCACTTAATGACTAAAAATTTAAAAAAAAATCTGTTTTTAAGAATTTTTGAACAGTTTTTTTTAAATTTGACTTTTAGAGATTGAAGTACCAGGTAGTATTTGAAAATACTCTGCATAACAGAGTTACAGATCAACTTAAGTATGTCATAGGATTTTACCTTTTTAGCTCATCATGCTGAATCAGACGTGCAAGTGAGCTTTTCTGATTGAAGAGTTGTGTGTAGTCTTTAAAACTTTTCACATTTTCAACTTGGGAAAGATTATTGTGTACTCAAGGGCCATATAATTTGAAAGCGTGCACTGGTATTCTTGGCACCAAAGAAGTTATCTCCATTTTATTATCACAATTCATTTTTATATATATATTTTTTTTTTTTGAGGGAGGGGTATTTTTGCCCAATATGATATTTTTATCAAGTATGATGTTTGCCTGTGCAGAGTGTTTGCTTATAGATGTTTACTTCAATAATTTCATCTACCAATCATATATGTTCATGTATGTATTTTAGTCAATACGTGTATGAATGTAGTTCATTGACAAAATATATCGTTCATATCTTGGGCAGATCAAAACATGCAAAATGCAACTGTTGCATACTTCTGAAAGAGAGAAGTGTCAACATTGGATAGGGTGAATGAGGCCACAAAACTAATGCTTTGTGATGGCAAATGATTTGCACTTTTCAAAATAATGCTGCAGTGGTTTTGGCTATATGGGCTCAGTGGTAAGAGCACATGACTAATAATAAAGGGGTCCTGGGTTTGATTTCTAATTAATTCATGAATTTTCTCCTTTCCTGTTACATTTGTTGCCATTGACAACTCCTGGACTCGCAGGTGAAAGTCCTGCCAGGGGCAAAAGAATCTGGGTTGCATGTCTTAGAGGGCAGTGGGAGGAATGTAGTGGTTTGGGCTATATGGACCTGGATATCTGTCTAGTTAGTTCAGCGGTTAGAGCAGCTGACTAGGGTTCATGGTGCAATTCCCGGTCCAGCCATTAAATTTATCATTTTCTATTACAATTTATTACATGACAAATCACATATACTGGCCATATGAAGTAGTACATTGTATGTAATTATTGACTTAATGGGGTTATTACAGTCATTTAGACACTTAGAGATCGAAGGATAATATTTACTGAATATAACGAGTTATACCAATGTTGTCTTCCAGAGTAGGTAAGTGATCATTTGACCAAAAATGCAAATCAGTAGGATTAAGTAGAATAGTATTGCTTACTCATCATATTCTATTATGACATGAAAATTAAGAGCCATTCTCTGTAATGACTTTAACTTTTATATAGGAGCTGTGGCACGCATAGTCTCAGTATTTCTCCGAACTCTCTATGATAAAAATCTTTGATCCTGTAAACTCAAATTAGGCAAAAATTGGTTGCTACGTGTCATGGTTACCATAGCAACAAGTTCTAAAGTTTGAAAAAATGGCATTTTTCAACATGTTCAGAGTCCCACAGTTAACGTTTGCAGCAAAGACAACAAGTGGCAATGACTGTTTCTGAAAGTTGAAGGCCTTATGTCTTAAATGCATGATAAATATGTTTGGTAAATCAGCTATTACATACGTTACTATGGAAACAAAGTATTCAAAAGTAATAATTTTGTTCATTTAAATTTATGAAGTCATACACTTAAGAATAAAAACAATTATAGGTTGAAATGCAAGCAAATAATAGACAAGAGATCCTTTTTACATATACCAAGGACGAAATATGATATTTCTTATAGGTTGGCAATGGTTGCCATGGTTTTAATACCACAAAGTTATTTTAAATTTACTTTCTTAGTGTTTTAATCTTATCCTATCTTTTTAAAAAGCATATTTCTATATAACTGATGATCAATTTTTAAAGGCGCTAGTGTGACCCTAGTTTTCACATTTCAAAAAATTCAAATTCAATTCTTTAAATAGAGCGTTGCTATGAAAATTAGCTGAAAAAATATGCATAAAAATCTGAAAAATATTTTGTTTCCTTGAATACATACCCTTGTATGTAGATTCCCAAAACTTTTATGATTGATGTATATGAACAACCAACCTGACTTTCAATTTTGACTACCAACCAATCTCTAACTGGATGCAAAAAGCTGGCACATAGGATTTAATATTGATATAAAATTAACAAAATCGAACATTTTCCCTTCTTGGTAACCATAGCAACAGTGTTGTATTTTTCAACAAACTTTATCAATATATGATATTCAACTTTAGTTCTACCAGATATGTACTATTCAAGGTGAGTCAAATACTATGTTTTTTTTATTAAAAGCTAGGTAAATTCCTTAAGCAGCAAAAAAATATCTCTTTAAACAACTGGTACATTGTTTCCATAGTTACACTGCAAAGTAACAATTAATCCCAATATTTCTTATGTTGTTGGTGTTGCAAGGTCCTAAGGATGTATATGTGCCAGTCATGAATTTTATTGTTTTTCCTCAAGATAGTAGCATTAACCCAATCTTAGCAAGATATTTTGCATGGTTACACTGTGTTACCATGGCAACCATGAAAGTTATTTTTAGAATAATATTGCCAATACCTAATTACTTAAGGTCAAATATTTTTATTGTTTTTCTTTGGTTGTTGATTGAGTTTGATCATGTAACATCTATCATTAGTGAATATTGAGCATTTTTCAGCATCTAAAATGTATTCCAAATGTACCCATGGTTGCCACTTACTTAGAGATAAATTCTAAATAGTTTCTTTATAGCATAACCCGTACGAAATTTTAGTCACGTATTTTCAAAAAATATCCAGGCGTGTTATATTCTTAAAATCCTGGTGGATTCTCCATTAAAATGAATACATAAAAGCAGGCGTATAAAGTGAAATACAGGCGTACAAGAGGCGTAATCCTACCGTATTTTTAGCCGAAATATGTAAATGAGTACGCCTGGAAATTCAAAATACGCCTGGAAATTTTAAAAATAGAATTACACCTAGATATCAAGCATACCCGTAAAAAAAAAATACGCCCGTAAAATAAATACACCTGTAAAATGAATACGCCCGTATAAAAAATACGCCTGCCTTAAATATTCATTTCAAATTAAATATTATCACAGCTATGGGGACTACAACCAACATAAATATAAAAGTACAAAGTACTTTAGTACATAGATTACTAGGAGTCTAAGTGCATATAAATACATACAAAAAAGATCAGACAAATTAAGCTTACAATCATACACAATTTTTATTTTATTAATACTTTTCAGTATGCTTAAATGTGAATGAGAAATGATTAAAAATCAGAATCAAACATTTACTGTTTCAAATCACAGTCACATCACATGTTAGATTTACATTAACTTTTCCTGTTTCACAGTATTTTAACCTACAAGATTGACATATTAGTTTAGTCAGCAGTTGCAACATTCCAATAATCACAGTGAAATCACTTTATTGAGAATCATGCCGATTAATCCTGCCATTCTCTGTACTCCTTATTTGGCACAAAAGATGCAATTCACAAGCAGTTTTGTCATTCACATTTCTTATTATATTCTCCAATCACATTTTCATAGAAATATTCACAAAAAGATGTTTTTCATGTTTTATAACTCCTGGCATTGAAAATACACTTCATTCCTGATGCTACACTCAACAGCTGCAGTTCATTGGCATGCATCTATGGAAAATGCTGCAATTCTGGTCATTTGACTCTCGCAAGATCTTTTCTTCACTTAAATTCAAGTATTTATGGACTATTTCATCATTCAATTGATCGCCCAACTGATTTATCCTATGGATTATGATCTGGAAAAAGAAAAACATAAGAACATACTCAATGTCATACTGACCCATTTCAATCATGAACATCTGGCTCTGCAAATCAAGCAAATGCATCTGTCTTATTTTTTTAGGTAAAAAAATCTAATGTTATGCAATGTATTTCAAAATAATCACCTCTTCACCATCTGTGCTTCGTTGCCACTTTCTCCAATCTCTTTGTTCCTGGCATGACCTTCCTGGTGGTTTAAAATTGGCGCAAATACTTGGATATAAATAATGCTGTTGTTTATAACCCCCTTGTTACCTAAACGGTTTTATCATTTCTGAGAGATCAGTACATTATGTAAATTTGATGAAAAAAGAATTCTGTATTGTTAAAGAATACAATAACAAAAATTCATTTATGTTTACACAAGATGTTTTTTCTATATGAATTATACTTTTATTTTAAAGATTAGGGTGGATAATAGAACTGCTCTAGAGAAACCGGATATAAACTGATAAGCCGTTCTTAGAAAGGTTTACAACATTACAGATAAGTCGTTCCTAAACTTGCTCAACACATCTGTAAGTAATTAGCCTAATCCCAACTGGTTAGACTAGGGAAGAGAAAGTAGATGGTAATGTAATATTATCTGAATATACCATCTATATTTTGTTTTATTATAGAGACATTGATCATGCAATTACTGATTGAAAAATTATTTTTAGCATCAGCTATAGTGCTTTGTTAAAACTAAGGACTTAAATATTCATTTAATTAAATGCTATTTTATATTAAGCCACTAAAACATTAATGAAAGAATATACTAAGTTTGTTAGAAATAAAATCATCTTAGTTAAGAGAAATAATATTAAACATTTTTTTTTATTTGGGAATCAATGGCACAGTAATCTAAGATTGAATAGTATAATTTACTAAAATTAATTGCTTTAATAAATACAATGAATACAACAAAGGCAATATTGTAATGTAATCAATGTTTACATGTGGAGTAAATACTTTTTGGGGGGTTAATTTTAATACATGTATCACAAAAGCAACTCAATAGTTACATAAAGGAGATTGAAGTTGTCTGAGTAAAATTTTTATCTAGCTCTCTTAATAATAAGGACTAAGTCAGAAAATCCACCAGGATTTCCAAAAATACGCCTTTTGAAATTCTCTAAGTTTTTATTTCCCTATGCGAAAGAGACTAAGAAAAAAATACGCCTGGATTAAGAATTTACACCAGGAGAAAAGGAGACGTATTTCTGGCAAAAATACGTGTACGCCTGAAAATGAACCGTATTTTTAAGAATACGTCTCTTGTACGCCAGGATTTGCAAAAAGTCCAGGCGTAATACGCCTCTAAATTTCATACGGGAAGTGGCAACAAGGTGTCATGTTTTTGTGAGAATAGTTTGTTTGTTTTTCTTAGTCTTTATTTAGGCTTAATAAAGATTCAAAGTAGCTGAAAATTTCAATTTTTTCAACTTTTCTGGCTGTTACCATGGCAACCAAGACACATAGCAACAAAATTTTATTGGATATATGTTTCTGGTGTCAAGTTGTAATAATGGGCAAAGTTTCATCAAAATTGGTGAACATGCGTGGCAAAGAAGTTTAAGTGGTTACAGAGAATCGCTATTAAAATGTCATGCAGTGATCAAAAGGATAATTTTCAAATATTTTAAATGTTGATATTGGTTTCATGCATGCATCTTTATTCCCTTTTTACTTCAATCTCTAGTAGCATGTAAAGTATTTCACTTGTTGAGATATGTATGGAATATGTGTGTTCTTCTTTTATCATGTTTATTCTACAGCAATAAGAAGTCAATTTTCTTGCTGAAGGGAGACCTTTCTATGATGGAATGGATGATGTTAGTGAGGATGCTGATAACTTACATATATGAAGTTACCAGGGGTACTTATTACAGTATTGAGTCTCCTCAGGCTCTGATGGAGGCAGGAAGATCAGATAGCAATGCTGTTAGCATTGTTGCATAATCAGCTATTCTTTGATCCAACGGACACGGCCATCAAACAAGTGAAAGGTAGGAATAATGATATTTATACTGACATTTACAGAAGAAAGATGAACCTACATATGAATGCATTAATATGACAATTTGTCAAATGGCAACATAGGTATGATTTACAAAACTGAAGACCAACTTCTATTCAGGTGTGAGAAATCTGAGTTTGATGACTGCTAAGCTTCACTATCCTTGGTTATACAAGCTGCGTTTAGTCGTAGGGTATCATGAGATCCCTACCATGCAACACTACCTGAATATTTGAAAGAAAAAATTACTCATTGCCTTCTTTACGTAAAGAAAAAAAAAATAAAGTGTTCAAACATTTCTCAGTTGAAAGTAATTTTATATATTCAGAAGGTCTCTATATTTAGTCTTGTACTCAGCACTTTCAGCCATTGAACAGTGACCTTTTTTCAAAGCTGCTGTCAAAAAAAAAATGTTTACCTACCTACCTACCCAACTTGAGATTTTAGGGTTGGGTTAGGGGAAATAAAGATATTTTTGATGATGGCCTTATTTAAAAATTATATGTCATTGAGACAGTTCCCATCGTAATGATTCCCTAACAATCTGGTTTTAGCTTGACCTTTATGTTAGAATCTTTTTTTTCAAGGTCATATCACACTTCTCGCTTTCAATTTTTCTTACAAATGTTTTTAAATGTTGCAGAGTGGTGTTCATTCTTCATTGAAGAAATTATTAACTAAGATGTAAAAAGTATTATGTAATTTATATGCATGTGCTTTTAAGGTTCATTAATACTCTGATTAGAAAGATAACTCTTAATGACATAAATGTTTATTATTCCTTTATAAATTTGTCAAGTTGAAATGTCTTTTTTGCCCAATTTTTGCCCTGAAAGCTATGAAAAATGATACACTGTACTAAAATTGTTGTTAATAATGTGCATTTGACAGGCATAATTTTGGTATCATTTAATTAACAAACATTGATTTTTTTGGGGATAGAACACTTGTAATATAAACTTATATTAAAAAGTAAATTTTCCCTTAAGTTGTTAAAGCGGTCTAAAAGGTGTGACTAAAGTAAGGTGATCACACATCCTTTTCACGAGATGCTAATAAATAACGTCAAACAGATTGTGTCATGTTATTAAATGTATTGATGTCTCAGTGTACATTTGACACTAGTTATGTGGGTGAGTAATTGTAAGGTAAGAATGTAGATATATTGATGAAAATGTAATGATATTATAGAAGATGCTAGCAGATAGTCTGGATTTTGCCAATACATGTAGCACACAGGGAATCCTTAATTAGAAAAGAAATGACATTTGTTTAGATATTGTGGACTCTGTATGGAGTTTATAGATTTGATTTAATGACTGTATATAAATATATTGTAGGATAAAATGGGCCAATATTGAAAGGATCAGCAGAGCTTATTTGGAGACGGACAGAGACAAGCCATTTACAAATTACATCATTCCACATTCATGTTTTAAATGGTTTAGAGAAAGCTTGTAATGTAAATGTGAATTATGTGTCGTATCAATAGAAAAACTAGCTTCATTGCATTGTTTATGAGTGTCACTGTGTATTGATCCAAATGAGTATAAAACCATGGAAATTATTTCTGTCTGCATAGTTTAAGTATTGAAAGCAAGAGGGATGTCTCTTGGAATGGCACTGAATTATAGCCATAAGTAGATGGTTGGAGATTTCAACAACTATGAATTATTGATCTATCTCAGTTCAATACACAACCCCATAAATACTGATCAGAAATACCTTTTAAAACACATTTTTTGAATGGGAGCAACTCTCTGCTGTCTTGCTCTTCAGGTGCCTTGCAGTCGCTAATAAGGTGTATCAAATACTTTTGTCCTTAAGGTGCCCAGAGATGCCACCTCAGTTTAGGGGAGGACAGCAATAGTGAAAATTTTCAAGGTATTACTTCTCGATCCTTTGGAAGTGTCACCTTAATGGACTATGGGCAAGCAGCAGAGTAAACTGGACTCGACGGAATTAAAGGAGCTGCTAGACTGCACATACTGTGAGTAAGATATTGGTCAGATACAACTAGTGTCAATTAATGCATGAAATGTATAGTATTCGTATTGACTTAAAACTGTTTCAGAAAATGATTATTGGGGAACACTGCTGAAATTGATTCTGGTGTAATTGCGGGGAATAAGAGATTTTTTTATATAGAACCTGCCAGTTTTATTTGGAATTTTATTGTGTTTTCAGACTCTGATGAAATTAACCGAATAAATCTAAGATATTTATGAAATCAATTTCAACTAATTTATTTTTTCAATGAAATATAGGCATGTTTTGATGAAAACCTTTTCATTTAAAATGTATTGATATTATGTAAATAAAAAATTGAAATGCCTGAAGATTTGAAAAGGAATCTGATGCTTTGATTATAAGTCCAAGTTATTGAAATAGAAATAGCAACCAAGATTTAGAAAGATCAACCAACAGCACATTTATGATAAAATGGTTTAAATAATTGAAATTCACATGATAAAATGGTTCAAATAGTTGAAATTCAGATGATAAATTGGTTTAAATAGTTGAAATTCACATGATAAAATGGTTTAAATAGTTGAAATTCACATGATAAAGTGGTTTAAATAATTGAAATCTACAAGTTAATGGTCACACTACTGATAAAAAATTAATATTTCTAATTGATTATAAACTTAGATACCAGTATTTTATGAATGTTGGTTTTCATTATATATTGTTTAGATAAGTTTCAAATATATTGTTGAAACAAATGAATATGCTGTTAGAATGGTAGCTAGGTGCCCTAAATTCTTATAAAGTAGAAGATAGTGACTCACAGTAATGAAGTATGCATTCATGACAAGTATTCTTATAATGAAGTACTGTCAAACCTCATTATCTCAAACTGAAAGAGACCAAGAAAAAAAACTTCAAGATAGGCCTATCCATATTTTTGAAATATTGAGGTTAAAATACAATTAGAAAATGGTGGATGGGATTTTCAAATCACTTCAACATATCCATGGTAATCTAGATAACAGAGTTCAAGATACTGAAGTTCAACTGTAATACTTTATTATTTCTTTGTTAGAAGAATATATCAGCTGGATAAAACCTTTTAAAGATATAAGTATTGAATAAGTACAACAACTGGACACCATAATTTAGGCTCCTTAAAACCTGTATTTAATGACTAATATTGTGTTATTTATAGTGATTATTTTTTGGTAATCACACATATTGGATTATTAATGTAGGAACCTCTTATATTAGAATCAAATTCATACACTTCCATATTAATCTTCTCAGAATCTCGTGGAGGCCTTAATTAATATATACTTCTTTTCATTTCTATCATAAGATATCTCATAATTACCCAGTAATTCCTGTATTGTGCAAGCACCTGCCATATGAGAATTTTTCAGAGTTTCCCCTAAGAGGTCAATGAATACAGGTTTGACTATACAATGAATGTACTTTTTGAAAAAGATTTTATATAATACTATAAAGGACTGCACAATTCCAAAAATTAAAAGTTTGGCATGTCTTCAAAAGTGTTTTTTTTTAAGTAAATATGATGGATATTAAATGCTGAATCTCTTTAGTTATAAAAGTTTTTATGATGATTATATCTTCAAAGAATTTAATTAGATTCATTTGATAAGTCAGTCAATTTATGTATATATTTGAATTTTATCCAGATCAATTCCACTAGTCATAAGAGCCCTTTAATGAATGCCTGGTACTCATTTGCTAGAAGATAATATGGATACAGACTTACGTTGATGAACTATAAAGATGTCCTAACTGAAATGTCAAACTGCTTTTTCAAAATTGTCAGTGGAAATAGAATTGTCATAAAATATTAGTAATAGCCTGATCAACCCCTAATTGGCCGCCTACAGTAAGATGAATACTTTTGTTGATATGGTAATGAAAAAATCACAAAATATTGTAATGTTTGTTGGATTTTCAAACACCCGGAGGACTAGGATTGGTTACAGTGATAAAAATCAAATGTGCCTCTGGTCTTGTCTGGTAATGTATTTGGTAACAAAGTTTTTTCTCAATTTTTGCATCACTCGGCTTTGTTGTTCTCTGACCTTACCATGGAGGGGAGCATTGATTTCTTATAATAGGAATTAAATCATTAGACAGTGATGGGGGAAATGGCTGCAGCCCTTTACTGTTGATGAGTTTCCACAAATTGATTTAGAAGGTCTGACAAATATGAAATAAATTTGTTTTTGTATACTGTCAAAAATGAGAAACTTAGGATTGTTCAGGAATTGTAAATAGGCTCTACGTTCAGAAAGGGCTAGGCATTATCATTCCTAAATATTGACAGTGCTATTTCCCAGTTTTGAAAGAAAAAAATTGAGTTGTTATTGTTCATACTATTTATGAATTCTTTATCTGTGTGAGTTCCTTTAAGGACGCAGCTGAGAATACCTCAGTTGCAGTTAATAGAAAGCAGAAATACACCATTTAATTTTCTTACAAAAGGAAGTAGACAATAAGATATAGAAATCATTTTTGTTTGTACAGTATTCATTTTATTAAATCTAATTAACAACTGTCAGGTAATTTAATGATTTAAAGAACTGGTCATTCAATCGTCAAGGTCTCATTTTTATAATACCCCTCACAAACAAAGCAAGGTAAGGGGGTCATATAGAAATGACATTTTGTCTCTGTAGATCTTTTTTTTCCTTGAAGCCTGTTTAGACCACGGCTTTATTATGGAAAAGTATTGAAATGAAGGCTTTTAAAAATTACTAATGACCTAGCTGAGTTTGTACTTGATCTTGATTATTGCTAAGAATAAAAGCCGCATGACCTTGACATGGATGATAATAACAATGCTGTAGATACAACCTTTGTTTTTCCAGCACTTACATTTTGCGCTCTGCTTGTTAAACAGTGCAGTTGAATTTGTCAAAACTTCTCAATACTCATATAATTTTGACTCATTATGTCTCTTTAAGGGAAACATTGGAAACCTACACAAATATTTCTATGACTTGAGGATTTGCTAGGACCAAGGTCACTTTGACAAGTTAAGCAGGCATAAACACCAATTTTGATGAAACTTTGCTCATTATTATATTTTGATACCAGAAACATAAATCTGCCAAAATTCAATTGCTGTGTATCAATCCTAGTTGCCTTGGTAACAGCTGTAAGAATTTCAAAAATTGAGATTTACAGCTTCTTTGAATCCTTATTGAGCCTTAAGAAGGACAAAGAAACCATATTGACCACAAAACATTATACCAAGGTGTCACTTATGATGTAAAGAAATTCTTTGGAATAAATCTCAAAATAGGTAGTACTGTGGCTACATTTGGCATACATTTTATATATGCTGTAAAATGCTCAGTATTTACTTGTTAATGCAGTTACGTGATTAAACTTAATCACCAATGGTAAAGAAACAATGAAAATAGTTTAACTTGTTTTAATAGGTTACAGAAGTATTATTGAAATATCAAATATAATGGTTACCATGGTAACCAGCATAGCAACACACAATTTGTGGCTTAAGGTGCGGTCACACGATGCAATTTTTCATTCGATTTTCATTCGACTTGCTCAGGTAAGTCGATTGGAGTCGATTGGTGGGGTGGTCACACGCAAGATTTTACATTCAATTTACAAACGATTTTGACAAGAAATGAACAGGTACTTGTTTTTTTTTTTTAGTTTTTAGTTTGAAGTAGTTCTGATTATAGTAATAAACCTAAAAAGCATCATTATGAAATATTTTTTCCCTTCATTCTGTTTAATATTACGTCATTTGCCCCATTATGACGTTTATGCTGACGTAATCTACAAGTTATGTCTGTTATCACTTTACAAGATAAGAAAACATACCGCATGAAAAGAACTTGTCCGAAGTATCTGATGTTTTCCAGGGTTTTTAAACTGACTAATAAAGGAAAACACGTATTTTTTTTTCATTTCGGAATAAAAAGTTTTTTAAAAAGAACCTGCACTAGACTTTCGATGACAAGAAAGGTAAAATAGCTACGTCGCAAAAGTTTAAACTTTTTTCCGTTGACCAGCAGTTGAAACAATATTATTAAAAACATTTGATATATCGCCTTTTTATTTTCACAAATTACTGTAGGTGAAATATTTACAGAACAATGATTACTATGTGTATATGTAAAATGCGTGACTGGGTACACAGTAAATCAAATTCATCAGACGCTCCAATAATTAAGTTAATCAAAATTTTAATAAAGGTAACTTTTTGGTAGGTAAGTAAAGAATGTTACCATATTACCTTCCTAAAAATAATGATAATAATAATAATAAAATAAATTGAAAAAAATCAGACTTAAAAACTTCCCTGATGATATGTAAACTAATCATTAATTTTTAAAAAGAATTTAACATTGATTTTTTAATTTTTTTTTTTTGGGGGGGGGGTTCAATTTATTCACTCAAACCAAAGTACATAAGTTACAAAATTAATAACATACAAACATATATACAGTAGTTAGAGGTACATGTACAATGCTATGTCACGTCGAAGTGAGAAGAAATAAGTAAGATAATTCAAGGAGAAAAGACAGCAACGTAATTTCTCCTAATAAACATAAATAGTTTTTTCAGTCTTTTTTTGTTAGTAGTTCCATATATAAGGAGAGTAGGGACCTTAACAGAGGAGTAAAAATTAAAAACCTAATCTAGTTAATCTTAGTACTGTACTTTTTTGTGAGTTCTAGACAATTAAAATCTACCATTTTAAATTATTCTACACGTTAACATATATATACATGAAATAAGTGGAATCTCTTGACGAATGCTTATTACTAGAATCCATGCAAATACTTGAAAAAACTACTTGTTCATATTATTGATAGGATTGGGTAGTTTACGCAGCGTCAAGTCCAACGTATCTCGCCGTAAACCCCTAGCATGCTGGAGTACTGATATGCTGTGTACCACTGATCTTAATTTATAGCAACATATAAGCATATGAAACATCTAATTTTAATTACATTTATAAACATTAAAGCTGGT